GCGAGCAAAGGTAACAAAAATACAAAAATTCATAATCAAAAATTCAAGCAGATTAATTAGCCTTAACTGCTAGATTTTTTTATGATATCATCCAAAAAAGTATATTTTTTTCGTACAATCGGACGGAAACCCAAAAAATGTAGAATAAATAACTTGTTCAAAATATTTTATAAAAATATAAAACGCTCTATGGTTGTAGTGGAGGACATGCGTTTTTACTACTTACTATTCTTTTCAGCTTTGATTAGATTTTGTGTAAGTTTCTTTTCATGAGAATTTTGTTAAAGGGTTGAAATTGATTTGAGGTCAAAAAACTAAATTGAAAGTTACTATATTACTTTGGACTTAGTGTTTCCGATTTTCAACTTACTTTACTTTAATCGATTATAATATATTGGGTCTTATCAAGGCAGATATTATATTCATTTTAGGTTTGTGGCTGTGGCAAATTTAGAAATACAATTTGTATGATATTCTCTAGTTAAGAGAGCCCTAGTCTGTTCTTTTAACAAAAACTATTTAAGTAAAATAATGTACTTAATTGATTTACCAGCGTACTTTTTTCCTTATCTCAATCTCATTTAATTATGGAATATGGGTTTTATATTAATTTAAGTTATTTCATCAACTCTAACACGGTTTTATTAAGTTGATCTGAATGTAACTATCTAACTTATCCCAAAAGTGTCGTTTAAATTCACTTCAAAGTGTAATTTAATAACTAAGTTGCATGTTAATATTCAAGTAGACTTTGATATTAAGTAAGTTCCAATGACAGTTTGAAGAAATAGTAACATTAATGCAATAATGCATCAAGACTATACACTTGTACATCTATACTAATATTATAAAGATGCAAAGTTTGTTTGTTTGTTTAATTGAACGCGCTAATCTCAGTAACTACTAATCCGATTTGAAAAATTATTTTTACATTAGATAGCCCATTTATTGAGGAAAGCTATAGGATATATAAAAACGTACCTAGGGATGAACCCGAGCCAATGGAGGGTGAGTCGCTGGTTTATAATATTACTATTATGTTCGCGCATCCCTCGAACGTGGATTCGAGGGACGAGGAGAGAGCAGCAGTGCGAGGGTGGCGTCAAGCGTCTGCAGACGCGCCGACAGGCTACCATTTCGAATTCACCGGCGGCTACCAACGATCACTCGAATCTCACTTTACCTTATTCGCTATATTTCAAATTAATACATTTATTTTATAGTTATACAGTCCACTCTCTATCATTTACCAATCTCCAACAATTATGTACCACTACAATTCCTACTCTAGGCCGCAGTCTTATGCCCGATTTCACCAACGTCACCTAAGTTTGAGGGATCCCCTAAGCATAGTTAGGGGGCTGTTAGGGGACATTTTCTGTTTCACCGACAGTTAGGGGTCACCTAAATGTTAAAAGGCCCCCTAAATTTAGGTGCTCGAAATATGGGCTTAAAGACGATCGTTAAACGAAATTTAATTTAGGGGCTAGTTTAAGGTAACTTTTAAGCTAGGGATCCCATACGTAGATGGTAGCTTATGGGTTGTTGGTGAAATCGGGAATTAAAATTTTAAATTTTGAATAGGTTCATCTGATGTAGTTTTAATAATTCTAATCATATTCATAATCAATAAGTGTTAGATTTTTATGTGAAATTGAAATTATATGAAATACTAATGTTTGCCCACAGCTCCACCCACGTTGGTCAAATATGTAATATTTTTACATATGTATAATAAAAGTGTAGAGGTCGAATGTCTGTACATAGAAAAAAATGCTAAAAATCGAGTCAGGGGGATGTAAGAAAAGTAACAGAACAAATCCAGATTTTTTTCAATTTTTTTGTTTCTCTGTCTGTTTGTCTGTTTGTACAGGCTAATCTCCGAAACTATTGGACCTATTTAAATCAAATTTTGCATGGTGGTACCTTATATCCCCGGTCAACAATTTTATACCCTTTTCTTCCCGGAAAAATAAAGAATTTCTGTGGGATGGTTAAAAAACTATAGTAATTAGTAACTTATACAGCTTAGTACACAAAAACTACTGATTGGATTTTAATGAAACTTTACAATAATATAGTTTAGTATACATCAGAATAAAAAATTGGCTACTTTTTATCCCGGAAAAATGTACGGTTCCCGTGGGATAGATCCCGTGTGTTTTTGTTTTTCTAGAGGGGAACCCGATCGCATCGAGGGTGAGCCGCTAGTGTATTAATATATCTTTATAGCATACGTAATACTCTGATATATTACTAAAAAGTTTAATCAAAATCCATTCAGTAGTTTTTGCGTGACAGAGTAACAAAAATACATCCATACATCCTCACAAACATTCGCGTTTATAATAGTAGTAGGATAAAATTTATCCATATATCAACTTACTATGTACTGCTTGTTCACGTTGTGCTCACGCAATTGGTATGAGGAACATTAGGAAGCTGCATTCTGCAGCTGCCTCTAATTGAGTTTACATTGCCAATTATCTTAGACTATATGCATTACAAGGCTTCTATATACAATTAGCTAATAGAAACAGATATTAGATATATAATTATGTTTCCGGTAAAACAGAGATATGACTTGAAAAACAACAAATAATTATTTCTTATTTATAATGAAAAGTTATATAACAAACTAGTGACTTACCGTCCCTTCTCTTGGTCCTCAGGTGCCTAACAGTAGCATGTATTAATCAAGATCATTGTCTGTCTGTTCTTAAATTTCATATAAATCAGTCCAGCTGTTTTAGCGTAAGTAACAGACAGACACATATACAAACTTTTAAGCTTATTTGTAGTTCGTTTTTTTTTCTTACAATGAAAAATTATATAACATAAAATAATTACGAAGTTTTTTTATCAAATACGCTAAAAAGAAAAATTAGATTTTATGTATTTCTATAAAATATTTCCAATTTTTCTCTTCATAAAAACCTTATTCGGACTTAATCGAATCGTTCCAGCCGTTCTCGACTTTTGCGCTTAGCAACACATTTAGCCATTTATTTTTATTTATAAGATTTCAAAGATTGCTCTCGTTCATTCACCCTTTATATTATCGCGCTTACAAAATATATTCTATATAGAGATTTTCATTGTCCAATAAGGCACCTGGCGATAATTTCTAGTTAATTTCGTAGGCACATATGTTGTCTTAAGATTATTTATATTTTATAGGTATTGTTTATTTCTTATATATATCTGCAAAAACAAAAATATTATGTTACAACTATTTTTATAGAAATATTAGCGGATATATATGAAAAACATAAACAAATCTATCCCACGGGAACCGTACATTTCTTCGGTATATAAAACCTATATGCTATTCTAAACTATAATCTATCACTTCGCCAAATTTCATCCAGATCTGTTCAGTCGTTTAGCGTGATTGAGTAACAAACATCCGTCCATCCAAACTTTCGCATTTATATAGTAGTAAGATAAAATAAGATTAGTTTATGTATTTATCATAAGAAAGCCATTAACTACTTAAATATGTAGGTACGTATCTTTCATATAATATTAACATTTTTTTTCAAAAATAAAGTATTTGTGAGTATATACCTGACACGGACCATTTACAAAAAGACTAAAAGGTCAGTTTGGACACGTACCACGTTGTCTTTTTAGTCTGAAATATCGATTTTATATTATGCACGGAAATTGAAAATTGTTCTCGATTTGAACTCGACTCATGCGAATAAAAGGGTTAGAAGCTGCTACAAGATTTTCTAATATTTTACACCGTATTTTATTTTAGCTTTACTACAACATATTTCATAAACTTTTTAACATATACTGTAATTTGCGTAATTGTGTATTCGATTAAGGGACTGGACTGATTCTTATCAATGCCAAAGTCATAAATGGGTGTAACCTTCATATATAGAAGTGTTGTAAGAAACTAATGTACTATATTTTAATAAGTGAAAATGCTTTATTCTTTATTTGAATTGTATTTAATAAATAGATTTTCTTTCTTCGTGAATGTTTCCGATGTTTTAATAGTTATTCTGCTATTCAAGGTAAAGACATATCTAACAAAACATAGATCATAAAAATCGGTATAGCAGTTCTCGAGTTTAGTTGTATATATGTATATAAAGCCATATGTACATAACTTGACTTTGTTTTATATATGTATATAAAGATATACTAATTTATATTGAACTAGCATTGCCCGCGGCTCCGCCCGCATTCAGACGACCAAAAACCAAATTCTTAAGTTTTACATATTAGTATACATTGCGGTTTTTGTATTTTTTCTCAGAAATGAGATATTTTCCCGCAGATAAAAGTATCCTATTTGTTGACCCGGGTAATCAGCTATCACCATACCAAATTTCATCAAAATCTCTCCAATGATTTTCCGTGATGCGGTAACAGACCGACAGACAGACAAAAATCCAAAAAACTATAGATTCGGTCTCTGTATCGATAATAATATCTATTGCAATAAGATTTTCCAAAAAATATTTAATGTACAGATTCGGCTTAGTTACAATTTTATTATATGTATAGATAAGTCATAAAACCATCAAATGCTTAAAACTTCTAAAATCGTTTATAAGCTAGATCGTAAAGTAGCTTAAATTTTATACATTGAAGCAATTATATGTCAAAGCGTCGCTCTAAGTTTTATATTGTCCAAAAACTAAAAGTCATTAAGTTAATGGATTTAACCTTGTTTGTGCAATATTAAACACATTTTGCAATTATTGTATTTAGTGTCTTTAGACATCAATTAAATTACATGGACTCATTGCTTATTATTATGGAAGCGTCAAGCAGGAAACTTGGATGACGTTGTCACTTGTCATGGAGCAGAAAATACTTTGGTATGGATTATTTATTATTAAAAATGTAAACTCTGGATAAATTCATTATATATAAAGGGCCCAAGGCAAGCAATAAAACACTTTTGATTGGTTTATATTATTCAGTATATCTATGAAATTATAACTAATATTATGTACATCGTGGTTCAGTTTTTATGGTGCGTCGTCTCCTCTCAGTGGAAGGTAATGGGGGCGACGGCTGTATACGGGCCTTCTTTGTTGAACTATTATTGCTTCAGATCCTGATCTTGATTGCGCAATTTGATGGCTTGCTTGACCTACTGGTACTGGAGTCACAGAATAACCAGCAGCTACTAAAGCAGCGAATTCCTCAGGAGTATATGCTTTATTATTTTTAGGAGGAGGTAAATGCGCTCTTTGATCTCTTTGATCTTCAAAATTTTGACCGTGTTGTTCTACGTTCATTTGCTCTGTACCAGAATACTGTTGTTGATCTATTCTGTATACCTGTTCTCGCTGAGCCTGTTCTAATTTAGATACTTGATCTAGCCTTACGAGAGGTCTTGCAACTTTTTTTGGAGTTATATTTTTACTTACATAAATTGCAGATAGTGGAGCTTTGACCGAGTCGATGCTCCTTGCTTGTTCCACTGGTCGAATGGCTATTGCTGGAAGTTCATATCTATTCCTTTGTTCATTTGATCGATAAATTGGGCGAATATAGTACTGATCGGTTATTTGAGTAGGACGTTGGACTGAAGACAAACCTTCATAACTAGTTTGTTCTGTTGAAACAGCTGCTCTTAACTTCTCCGGCTCTGGGAACCTCTTTAAATAAGTGACGGGTCTTTCGTTCGAAGCTAAATGTCTTGATTGTTCTTGTCTAACAGATTGAGCTCTTGGAGTGTCAACAACTCTGAATTGTTTAGGGGAAGCTTCTTGTTGATATTGAATTCTATAATTGTTGTATTGTGGATTAAGCGCTTGTAATTTTGGTGCCGGCACTACTTTCAAGCCTTGAGATTCTGGGCGTTCGTATATATTTTGCTGTACAGCTGTAGGCGCTGTTTGTATAGGAACATAGCGAAGAGTCTGTGGTACTCTTTGGTTTTGTGGTATGGCTCGGAATTGCTGTAACTGCTGATGTTGTTGTTGTTGCTGTTGTTGAACATTAGTAGTTTCAATCAGATATTGCTGAGGAGCAGCTGGTGCCTGTGTTGGAATGATTTGAACTTTTGGGCGTAGTTTTGTTGGTTTCTTATTCGGTTTTGATATGTACGCAACATCAACCTGATAAGAAAACAAATATTAAAACATGAACTTATTAAATACAAAACAATGCAGTTTTTTTAGTTTCTTTTACCTGCTGGTACTGAGGTGCTACATTTTGTGCTTGAATCTGTTGTGTTTGTTGTGGTTGAGTAAATGTCTGAGGACGTACATCATCCTGCCTTGTTTGATGGCCCAGCAAAGCCAACAGCTCTTGGTCTAGTGATTCAGCAGAACTGGCACCGGTATCACTGACCGATAGCGCTGCGCCTACTGAGGCTTCACCTCCATTTGATGTAAAATGAGGTCGTGCAATCACTGCATGCGAAGGTTGCAGAGCTACCTAAATTTAAGAAAAATAAAGTGTTGGTATGGTAAAAAAATGTTTAGGCTTAAATATAATTAAAATAACCTTAATATTTGTTTATTTAATATAAACGGATTATGCAAATTTATTAAATGCTAAAAAAGATTATTAACATGTTCTATGTTTTTTTACATGTTTTTAGAATATGGATGGTAGCACAATTAAAAACCTGTGTCTTTATTTTTAACTTAGTTATCTTAGTTGGCTTTCTACAATTTAGAACAAAACAGAATAAAATGTTAAAAAATTTAATTACCAACCTGTCGACTGAGTTGTGGTTCCAAGTAATAAAATTGCTGTAAGTTTTGTCTGTGCTCCTGTTGAGGGTTACTATACAATTGCTGTAGTTGTTGGCCACTTGCAATTGGGGCTTTTCGTTCCGGCTGTAAGTCTAATAGCTCTTGCACGTTGAGAGAGAACACTTGCCCTGGGCGATACTCTTGGGAATGAAGTCTGTAATTAAACAAATAAACTTAAAATTTATTTATTTTCCACGTTTACAACTATAAAATTAGTTGGATAGATGCTATATTTTTTGGAGAAATTTTTTATTATTATTATGAAATATATATTATGAAATATGTATTATTTATTAACTAATATTGCCCGCGGCTCCGTCCGCGTTCAGATGATCAAAAACCAAACTCTTAGGTTTTACATATTATAAGTATACTCTTACAATGCAGTTTTTGAATGATTTTTTTCTCACAAATGAGATATTTTCCAAAGGTAAAAAGTATTCTATATGTTGACCCGGATAACCAGCTATCACTATACCAATTTTCATCAAAAATCATGCGGTAACAGACAGACAGACAAAAATTCTAAAAACTAGATTCGGCCTAGAGCCAAGAGCCAAGAGCTAGTGAACCCTGGGAGTAACGGTCTCCCTGTAAGGTTAGAAATTTGTCTATTTACGATTTATGGCATGCTAAGAGCAATAGCCATGACCTGGCAGGCGTCAGCCCTGCACGTCATCAGCCCCTTTATTTTTTGAACTGTTTAGTAAATTGAGTTTTAAAACTTGTTTCTGTAAATTTGAAAATTTAATAGGATAAAGTTTATTTATTGTACATCTTAAAAAAAATTGACAGGCGATTACAATAAGCAGAAGTATATGACAGATCAATTAGAAAACCCACAGTTGATGAGGTAAAATAAACTTTATCCTGTATACTTAAAATTTTTATATGTTTTCAAGTAAACGTCTCAGAGTAAATATGTACAATGCCAGGCGGTTTTGAACAGCATAAGACCTTGACAGGCGAGGGGACAGCTGCTAAGGGCGTGCGAGTGAGAGATGTTGCGTGAATACTTATAGTGCGAGTGAGTCCGTCCTTTTCAAGAAGAGGTAAAAAAAACCATTCCAAATATTGCAGAAATCGAGTGTATATCAGAAGGCATTCAAAGAATTAGGAAACGCAGAAATAGTACAGAAGAAAGAAAAAAAAATCCCGATACTAAAGAAATTTGTATGCCAAATGTATGGTTTGAAATGTTCAAAATTAAATAATGCACGTTATGAAAAGTTCCTTGCTACGTACAACACAAATAATCCTAAAGTGTTTATGAAAAAAGTAGTAAGCTATGATTCATCAAATTTACCACCCTGTCAACGTGAACTACATCAACAATTATTGAGAACTGCCTACATCTCTATATATTATATAAAAGAAGGTCGTGTTAGTTACACTATTTATAACTCCAGAACGGCTGAACCGATTTGGCTGAAAATTGGCGGGGTGGTAGCTTAGAACCCAGAGACGGACATAGGATACTTTTTATCCCGTTCGACCGCGTTCCAATTTTTATGATATTTTAATTTTTGGATTTCTCTTAGTCCGGAATAGGTAAGTATAAAAACATCAGAATAATTAACGGAAAAAAAAAATGTATATGGCTTACGCTGGCTAATAACTTTTTATATCTATTTAAAACGTACCTAGCGACGAACCCGAACGAAGCGAGGGTGAGCCGCTAGTCTTTATATATATAAAAGAAAGTCGTGTTAGTTACACTATATATTACTGAAGAACGGCTGAACCGATTTGGCTGAAAATTGGTGGGGAGGTAGGTTAGAACCAGGAGACGGACATAGGATACTTTTTATCCCGTTCGACCGCGTTCCCGTCTGACGTGACAAAAAACTCAAGAATGGGTGGAACAATTTTTATGATATTTGAATTTTTGGATTTCTCTTAGTCTGGAATAGGTTAATAAGTATTAAAACACCAGAAAAATCACGAAAAAAAATTAAGATTTATATGATTAACGCAGGCTAATAACTATTTATATCTATTTAAATCCTAGCGACGAACCCGAGCGAAGCGAGGGTGAGCCGCTAGTTACAAATATATGGCGAAATTGTAATTTAAAAGAACCAACAATTCTTACACCTGAAAATAACGGTTGGAACTTAATTGATAGTCGTTACAATTTTAATTGGTTTGAGGGGAATACGGTTCCATCTTCTATATACGACATACTTTTACAAGGACCTGCTGATACTGCCACAGCACAATCGACTAAAACTGAGGAATGCATTTCAGGTAACATACAACTATTTTATTCCGTAACATTTAATATGCAGTCCTACGTAATTGAGCTTGATATTTAATTCTTAACAACCTTATTGATTCATTCAAATATTTTTTTACTATTTTCAGATGAGGAAAACATTGTTGAAGAATCAGATGGTGATGAAAACAGTGATAGCGAAATTTCGGATTATGCTGAAGAAAATTAATGTTAAAAATAATGTAGATTGCATAAAACCCAATAAAATACATTGCATATTTTACTGTATGCGTTCATGTAACATTTCTTATTTGCACGCCCTTAGCAGCTCCCTGTCCCCTCGCCTGTCAAGGTCTTATGCTGTTCAAAACCGCCTGGCATTGTACATATTTACTCTGAGACGTTTACTTGAAAACATATAAAAATTTTAAGTATACAGGATAAAGTTTATTTTACCTCATTAACTGTGGGTTTTCTAATTGATCTGTCATATACTTCTGCTTATTGTAATCGCCTGTCAATTTTTTTTTAAGATGTACAATAAATAAACTTTATCCTATTAAATTTTCAAATTTACAGAAACAAGTTTTAAAACTCAATTTACTAAACAGTTCAAAAAATAAAGGGGCTGATGACGTGCAGGGCTGACGCCTGCCAGGTCATGGCTATTGCTCTTAGCATGCCATAAATCGTAAATAGACAAATTTCTAACCTTACAGGGAGACCGTTATTCCCAGGGTTCACTAGCTCTCCAGCTATTATATGTTTCAATAACATTTTCCAAAAAATACTTAATGTACAGATTCGACTTAGTTACAACTTTATTATATGTACAGGTTACTAATGAAAATTTTGGAAGTGAATAATATATGAGAAACAGGTTTAAAACTATCTCTTCGACTACAGTACGTGCAGTTCCTACAAAGAAACAATAACTAGGTATTTTGTAGTGTATAAATCACGCAATATTGATTCGGTTCGGTAGGTAGAGAAAGGTTCGCTAATTTCATAAGTGAAATTAATTGATGATTCCCACACAGTTTCTATTACACTATTTTTGTTTTTGTCTTGTCTGAGTTTTGTGTTTTAAAATTACCATCTCATAGAATATACATACTTATTAAATGTATATAATAATAGTAGCAATACAGTTATTGTTGGTATATTTATATAAGTATATAGGTATTTATATTATATATACATACAAAAACAGTCCAAACAACTGGACCTTATTTGAGTAGAATATATTAATATTAATGTTTTTTAATCAGGAAAAAAGAAAAATTACTTCATATAAATGTCGATAGATGGCGTTATATGTACATGTCAAGTAGCTATTTATGTTTGTAAAATTAACTAAAATTTTATTTTTAGAAATAATCTGAATACTATAAAAGAAAATAGATTTATAAAAGCACTTCATATTTTGATACTGTAATTTATTAATTCATTTTTTTACGGATGAGCGAAATATTAGATATTGAATGTGTATAGATTATAATGTTTACATTTTATAAAACCGGTACTGTTTGTTTTAATAAAAATGCAAAATGACTTTTCTATATTATATATTAGTACGAGTATATATGTACATATTAGTAAAAAAATATATTTTACAGTTTTTGGATCAACGCCATCTGTTGGCTATTTATGCATACAAAAATAGCCTAAATGAATACATTTTTTTTTTGTATGGAATGGAGTATTTGTGACAATAATAAGGGACCTTTAAAGTTAAATAGCAGATGATCTTAAACGGGATTTAGAATGATAGTCCAATTAACAATTTAGATAACATTAAAATGAGTCTCACAAATGAGAATATAACCATGAAATGGAATATGAATAATTTTTATTACAAATATAAAATAATTATCCAAGAACAATTTATTTTATTATGAAAACAATTTTACAGAAACGGTAAACTGAAGAGAAAAACGTCGAGCTTTTGCGATGGAAAAAAAGTTATAATATCCAAACATGTAAATAAACCTAATTCTATGTATATTTAGTAAATACATATAGAGAATAGTGGTAGATTCATCATGGACTTACATACTGACACTTAATTTAAATTTTAGAAATGTATTAAGTGATTCAAAAGTATTTATATAAGTCTATTTGATAAAGTATATTTTGATTTGATTTGACATATTTTACCCTACTTTCATAGAAGGGAGGTAATGTTTTTTCAGTATTTGATTGATTAATTTGAAATGCATTATTTACACTTTTTTGAGTTTAAAATATGTATATGAAAGATTCAGGATGTAATAAAATTTATTTTATATGCTAATGTTATTATTATAAAATTCTAGTTAAATTATTACTTTTATGTGAAGTATAATAATAAATTTTATACCTGTCGCCTTTTTCATCTTCTTGATTTTCTTCAACTGGTGCCACTTGCTCCTGAAAATATTATAGATAAAATATTAATCATACATACGTATTCATATATGTACATTGTACATTCTTTTATAAAAAATAACTAGCCTTATTGGACATGTTACAGTATGTTACTGATAATACAATTATCGGTCTTCTAATAAAAACTCCCTTATAACCCAATTAACAATGGATTTCTAAGCGTTATTCTACCAGCCAATCTCACCAGCCAATCACAAGACTAACAACACTATTACTGCACTCTGGCAGTCTAAAGACATGTCAAATCGACATGATCCATAACCATTAGGCTTAGATGGTTCTGAGTACTCTTTAATACACGATGGTTTAAAATACGAACTTCCTAACTCAAGGTTAGTACATATAATTTGTTTACACAATATCATAATACTTCAAACACCTTAAGTCCAAAATGTCAAATTTCATCTACAATCTACAGACATACACTCTAGCTACTGGATTATCAAAGTAGACAGTAATAAGCTGACTTTATATAATATAATTAATTATTTATTAATGTTTTATTATCACATGAATAAGAACAATGTAAGCATTATGTAAAGCACGAGTTCTACTAAGAATAATATTATTAATTAAACCTAATCGGTCAATGTACTCGTACCTACTCCACACGCTATCATTACTCTAGGGTCTAGACCTTTCGTTTCTATGTTTTTCTATAGGCAAATTTATAATGCAAACGTATGTATTAAAACACATTATCGTATGAATAACAATATAATTACATTTTTACTTTATAGTTAGTTAAGGCAGTGGTAGCTCAGTGGTAATACGCTCGCTTGCGAAACCGAGTGAAGCAAGTTCAAATCCCGGGTCTCGCACCTGATATTTGTGCAAATTATTTCCAACATGAATACCACTTGTCTTACCGTGAAAGAACACAATGAAGAAACCTGCATGTCTGAGTTTACAAGTTTTCGAAAGTCTTGTGCACGGTGCAGTCCGCCAACCCGCACTTGGCCAGCGTGGTGGGCTATGGCCTGGTCCCCTTCGTATAGAAGGGAGGGCCGTATCCAGCAGTGGGGCTTTATAGTACGAAAGCTACTATACAAACATTAGCAAAATATGTTGGTTATGTAAGAAAATGTTTGATCAATGCGCATCTTGGTAAGCCGGTAGGAAAAATCAAAAATTGGCGACTTTACGTAAACAATATAACTTATGATGTTCTAAATGATCACGGCACTCCGACAACGTTAAAAGTAGTAAATTAACAGTGACAACAGCGCATGTCATAATGAGAGCTACAATTATGTATTACGTTAGACTCGGACGGTGAAAGGCGAGGAAATATTTGGAAATAGAAGGCGTCCTACTGCGTTTCCTGTTTTTGAACAAAGCTATCATTTGTGTTATCAAATGCTATGAATTGTGATCTTATTAAGTGGTAATTTAGGTTAAGTAGATTTTAAATGTACTGTAGTGTCAATATAGAGTGAATATCGTAATATAATCGAATAATTTGTTTTTATTTCATTTTACATCGAATAAATTATATATTGGTCTTATATGTATAAGTCTCTTTCAACAAGTAAAAATTTGCCTAGTATAAATTTATAAAATGAAATCGGGATCAAAGTTCTGCAATAAATATTTTTAGAACCTTTAGATTTGGAGATGCTTAATATAAAATAGAAATATATTAAATATATTTTTATACTACACGTTACAATTAAAAACAAGTCCACTTTTCGTCGTTCTATTTAGAGTCACGCTTAGAAGCTATAGACTCAAAAATTTTAGTGCTGATGCTAGAGAAATAACTTCGATTCTCAATAATATTTTAGATAATTACACATAATATGGCATTTATTAATTATAATTAGTTTACACTACGTTTATAGTAAAATTTACACTCTTGAAAGCTCAATCCTAAAAGATTTACTTTTAAATATATTGCTACGTAACTACGTAACTACGTAAGAGTAAGTAGAGTAATTAATATGTATTTTGTCTAAACGCGTTTACATTTTTTACATATATGCCTTGACTAGTGCAATGTGATAACTTAAACAGCGTAAATATTATTTTTTTAGCTTTACATTCAATGATATAACCGTATTCACCATTCAAACTCAGCTCTACATTCAAAGACATTAAAGCCATGGTGAATTCCATGGCTTTTATTGTAGATCCCAAATTAGCCAGTTACGACTAATTTTAAGTAATGATAAGTTATTCGTTGCTTTCTTCAGTTATTAAATGGAAAGTGTATTGTCATAGAGTCTTTATAGAGAAAGTTGATAACATGAAGAATCCGAAACTGCGGTGACCCCGAATGCATAATTGCGTTCAAACTCCGTAATTGTCGATTGCAAACACCAGTCAAATAACAAGTTAAACTTACAAATTCTGTTGGAACAGTATACGTGCATTTGTACTACAATACTAGATAAAACCTTTGCCTATAATATTACTTTGTTAGAATTTTAAATAATAATAAATAATAAATATGTCAGGACATTAACACAGAACACCATCTAGTTCCATGGTAAGCTACAAGGCTTGTGTTATAGATACCAGATAGTTGATACATTATACATATATAACTTTAAATACATACATATTATAAATATAAACACCCATGACTAGAGTACAAACATTCGTGCCCATCACACAAATGAAGCCCCCCAGCGGGACTCGAACCCGCGACCGCTGGCGCAGCAAGTAGGGTCACTACAAACTGAGCCAAACGTGTCGTCGTAATAATATTATATCCGTAAATGTAATAATATTATATTTACGGATTTTCTGACGGTTTTATTTTGATTTTTTATTTCCGACTCTCCCTTGATCATGTTTGCTATTTTATATATTTAAAAATATACTTGTTTTTAATAAACGTATGAAACATTCTAAATTAAAATATTTTTACGCCTTTTCTTTCGTGATTGAATTAACCGTCAAGCAATAATGGTTTGTGATTTTCATTTCAAAAAACCGCAAATTTTTTACTTTTTAGCTTGGCAGCTTGAAAACGAGATTTATAGCTAAAAAACATAAAATACCAACACTCAATATCAAAAATACTATCTTCTTATTTGTTATGCATGCATTTTTAATTCATTCGCCCGAGTGCGAAGAAACTTTATAATATGCCCATCTGAAATATTTTAGACATAATACCATCGATATACGATAGATGTCGAGTCAGTCGTATGGTTATTTAAGATTTATTACCAGTTTTATTGTAATAATTATAGATTCTACAAATTATATCAGAACGTACATTTTAAAATATATTTTTTTGTCCTACTCGTGTAACTAATAAAAAAATACAAAATATCTAAGAATCATAAATTTTAAATAGAAACATATTTCATAAGACTCGATGTTATCATTATTAGATTATTTCAATAGTAGTTTCTTGTTGGCTGTAGGAAAATATCACTTGGTCTCTAACTTACCGGACGCTCAAAGGAAGGTGACGAAATCTAGGTCACAGTGAGAGGTACGTAGGAATAAGTACTGCTGAGGACTCAAAAAGCTTGTTCTAAACTTTAGAAGTTCATTACTTAATAATAATTTCATAACATTAATATATTTTCGTATTGTAATATTATATACACAATTCATTTTTCCTTACTTTCAATGTCTCTACAGGATATTTGAAATATTTATTATCTAGGATTTTAACTCGGTTTTTTTTAAAGCCAATAATATAAAAATTGAAATATAAGAATTTAAATATAAAAAAATTAAAAAAAATAAAATACCTAAGGTCTTAAAATTTATTGTATTATTATGTACCATACCTATTTTGTTTGATTTGTTTGTTAAAGTACATGACAAAGCTCACATAAAAATAATTCATATTAAAAAACAATGTAACTTAAAAATTAGAGCTATAAAGCAGTAAATCTTCTTCAGTCTCAAAATTTCATTAGAGTTATAATTTATTCTATAGAACATCCATCATTCAAAATCCAGCAATCAACCCTTATTATAAAAGGCTTTAAGCGATCACTTCGAAAGGTAAATGATACTATAAATAATATCGTATAGTGTAAATAAGTTTTTGTGTAACTTAAAACGTGTCCAGTTACGAGTAAAGGAAATGATATTATATGTAGGTTTTGTAAAATATAGCGCAATTCGTTATCTTTAATTTCCGACATTTAACAAAGAAAATACGTATATTTAAAATAATTAATTTCACCATTCATTATTTTAATAACTTCATTTATTGCTTAACGATAAATTTATTAATGCATTATACAATTGACTTCTTTTATTATTTAATCGATGATTTAATCGCGCATTCGTTTATTTAACAAATCGGTCAGATATAGTAATATATTGTTATTTTTTTCTTTTCTTGCCGTTTAATATCTTTATCGATAAAATTTTAAATTAAGTCAGCAATGAGAGATATACTTAATATTTTTTTACATATTATATAAATAAATTCTGGAAAATCTTAAGGAAACAGACATTATTATCGATACAGAGGCCGAATCTATAGTTTTTAGAATCTTTGTCTGTCTGTCCGTTTGTTACTGCATCACAGAAAAACCACTGGAGGGATTTTGATGAAATTTGGTATGGTGATAGCTGGTTGTCTGGGTCAACGTATAAGATACTTTTTACCGCGGAACAATATATCATTTTTGAGAAAAAATACAAAAACTGCATTGTAAGAGTATACTAATATGTAAAACCTAAAAATTTGGTTTAGGTCATCTGGACGCAGGCGGTGCCGCGGGCAATGCTAGTAACATATATAATATTACTTAGAAATATAAACCTATTATTATATTAGCCCAAAATGCGATTTTTTTATTTATATTAGACCAAAATGAGATTTTTTTATTATTACTTTTTACTAAATATAAAATTTAAAATAATTATTATTGATAATTATTATTCAACATACTGTCGATTTTAACAAATGTTCAGTTTATCTTCAGATTCCTCTCACTGATAACTGCTTGTTATACAAACTAGATTTAGTTAATGGATTTCGAATGCAAATTCAGGAAGACAAAGTTATGGCAATGTTTCAAGACTTCAAGATAGAAGATTTATTTTACAACTACAACAAGATGAAATAAAACCATTCAAACTATGAATACCAATTCGTATTGTTCTCAAAGTATAACTTTATTTTACTTTAAAAAGTAGGTATTTGTGGAAAAAGAATGTTTAAACAAAGAATTAAGTACTGTTGTAATACATATATTATTTTTTAAGCAGATTCTCGAAGTACAAAACTAATATTAAAACATCATTCACCTATAGAAAACCATTCTATTGCTGAACGTATGGCTTTTTATCGATGTACCGAAATTGATGAGATTTGTACGTATACTTGTAATAAATGAGTGATAAAGCCCCCGCAACGTACCTACTGCTAATATATTGTCTTAAAAAACGGAAAGATATTTATGTATAGTTATTATATTCTCTCTCTCTGTCTCCATCTTTCTTTTTCTGTTTCTATCTCTACTCGGAGGAAAAAAAACACTTAATTTTAACAAATTGACTTTATAAATCGAATTTTTTATTAAAAACCTAAGTATATGAGTACATATTATATATTTTGATTACGAGTACATGACATAGGTACCTAATGCTTACACATATATGTTGGGACATTAACACACACAAGCTACGAGTCTTGTGTTATGGATACCAGATAGTTGATACCCTACACATACATAACTTTAAATAAATACATATTATAAATATAAACACTCATGACTGGAGTACAAACATTCGTGGTCATCACACAACTGGATGCCCCCAGCGGGACTCGAACCCGCGATCGCTGGCACAGCAAGTACGGTCACTACAAACTGAGCCAAATATGTCGTAAAAATATATCATTTCGAAAATGTTTCTACTACTCATTTCTTATCAGTTAAATAATTATTGAAGCTTACTTGTTTCCTGGCTGTTCTATAAACGAATTGCGAGGTGCCTTCGTCGGTCTGCCTTTTGTCCTTGTTTTGAACTTCATCCTTTTTGTTAGCGTCTTCGGATCGGGCGCTTAAAGCGAGAGCTGTGACAAATGATACAAATTGTTAGAAGTTTCATGAAACAATATATAAGAGATACTATAGAAAGATTTACAATATAAAATATATAAGAAAGAGTAATTCACCTACTGGGTTGATACAAAATGTCCATGGAAGTAACAGCTGATTTATAATTATTTGTATGTAATTGATACGACTCATTTTAATTTTAACATGAAGAATATTCATATATACTTGTTTAAAGTTTTTGTAAAAGTTCTTTTTAGTTATAGCTCAGTTATAGTTATATGAATAGATTTTGTTATCAATTTTTATAGGTCACTAAATTTCTATTTGTTAACATGGTTAAAATAAACATTAAAATCTAGACTCTAATTGTAATCTAAACCTACACTTTTGATCATATAATATACCAAGGTAGGTACAATTGAATTTCTCATCTTTGCGATAACATTATACAATCACGATATTTCTATAGGTCTAAGTTCAAGTTAACCTGTTAGAAGGCTAACTAGAGATCTTTTGAAGAGACGAACCTATAGGTTACATATAATACTTATAAAGTACCTATATATATATATATATATATATATATATATATATATATATATATATATATATATATATATATATATATATATATAGATAACCTATAGGTCCTCTCTTAGTCATTAGCAATATTTACCCTACGGATTTCGCCTTTACCAATCAGTTTTGATTACTGTCGAGACCTACTAATGTGCATGCAATACCTACTTTTAAGTACTTCGTTACTTTTAGTAGATTAAACATGAGATAGATTTAGATATATTATAGTCACGACTAACCTAAAAATCAGTATGGTTTTTGGTTTGTTGCCTTATCTTTTCATGTGACAACGTATATTTGTGATTTCGTAATAGACTTAGTTTATGGGTCACTGAGACATAGGTTACAATATATACTAGTACAACAAATTCCCGTGTGGCCTAGAGAAGGCGAAAGCGGCTAGCACTTAATAATTTATAATTAATTCAGATTAACTTTAAACTTTACTTGATGAATTGTTATGCTTAATTAATATACCTTATTCTATAAATGTTTTTTTATGGTTTAATATTTTATTGAACTTTAATGTAAATGGAGTTTATGTCGCTTCATTTATATATATATATATATATATATATATATATATATATATATATATATATATATATATATATATATATATATATAAACATTGAGAAAGATCTCTCAGGGGAATCCTGCATACTATAGATTAAATGGCCTTTGCAATCCAAATAAGCGGAACATTTTACTTATAAAAGAGATTGGATGCTAAAGGCTGGCGATGAAGTAATTTGATCACATCTCTAACCAAGGCCAACATATAGTATTATATTAAAGTTAATTAATTATGCTGAGGATTCATAATATTATTTATTCAATTTATATCTTTGGATTTTTTTTTATTTGTTATAATACTTTAATTTTAATTGATATAAAATTATATTGTTTATTTACACTATCAACACTTACTATTTATTATAAAGAGGAAAGATTTGTATTTTTATATGTTTGTAACGAATAAACTCAAAAACTAATGCTCCGATTTAGATGAAGTTTTGTAAAAAGATAGTTTGTGACCCTGTGACGGACATTAGATATTTTTTATTCCGGAAATCATCCCTTAATGGGTCGAAAATAGGGATGAAAGTTAGTATGGGGAATCAACCTATCTATACAACCTATCAATAATAAAGGAATAGTTTTTAATTTTAACAATAAATTCTAAAATGTGATTGAACAACACATACATTCTAAAATGTGATTCAAGATTCTAAATTAACTTAATTAGTACTTATTGCAAAACAATATCTAACTACGCAAATTAATACAATTTGCAGCATAGCGTTATACAGAAATGATTTAAAGATAAATCTGTTCGTTATAAACTTTATATGAAACAATTATTTCATTAACAATTAACTACAACGAAAGCTAATTTACGTATTTAATGAATTTAAAGAGATGTGCAAAACTGAAATATTTTTATATATTACATACGAGTATATGTACATATTTTGTTCTTCGAAAATTTGCTCTGCTTTGAATGTTATACTCTCTGTTATAATGCACCCAAATAGTAAAATCTCGATATTAGTCAATAGTTATAGTGCAAGCGACTTAAGTGTAAACAATTTTTTCTCCACTTTACTTATTACATGCTTGGCGGGTGGTGATGGTCTTTTACTCTAATCTTAAACTGAAAGTATGTATACTTCACTTAATTATATTTTTTTGTATTACTACTACTACTTGCTTATAAGCCGTCGATTGATGTGGACAAAATTTCTTTACTTAACTTACTAGCGACTCATCCCGCTTAGCTCGGGTTCGTCCCTGATTGATGCCCCATATAAACTTTCATCCCCATTTTCACTCCCTAAAGGGATGATTTCCAGGATAAAAAGTATCCTATGTCTTTCCGAGGTCTCAAACTATCTTCTTACCGAATTTCATCTAAATCGGTTCAGTAGATCCAGAGATTACCCCCTACAACGTCACAAATAGTATAGATGATATACAACAGTATGCAATAGGTATACATGGAAATATGAACTCTGGTCTCTCTCTCTCTATTGCTAGGAAGATATGCTGGTTCTATGCTGTACAACCTCAGACTAAGAAATAATATAGACAGTGTCAAATATAAATGATGATGTTCTCCTGATCGATTCCGGCCACGGCGGCCAATCTCATTGAGACTAGCCAACTGCGCAGGAGATATTATAGTGCACAAGTGTACGCGCAGACACAAGTGTACTCTCTATTCCTGTCACTTTCATACTCCGGTGGGATAACTGCTCGACACGACCAGTGAGAGTTAAGGCGCAGGACCGACGGCTTTACGTGCTCTCCGAGGCACGGGGGTGAAACATCGCCAACTTCCCAACTCTGGGCTATTACTGAGACTTACTATACAGAAAAACTCAATAACTAAACTTGGCCCGACCTAGGACTCGAACCCAGGACCTTCGAGCGTACAGCCGTACATGCTAGCCCCTACACCACCGAGGCAGTTGAAGTGTCAAATATAGACAAGAGTGTCAAAAAAAACAGAATACAAATATTATTAGAATATTGATTACTGTGATTAGTAAATAAATATTAATAAATAAAAATAGCTAAACGATTTCATTATAATAAAAAAGAAATAAATAAATAAGTAAATATTCTAATCTCTTTCAAGAGAAAGAGAACTAAGTTTAAAAATTACAAAATAATATTATTTTATTTTCACAATTCATATTTTCTTTTCAAAAAATGTAAATTAACTATTAATACCTAATAATAAATAACTATAATGTTCGGCAAATTCGAGAACAGTAGCATAAGCAACAATCACGCTACGATTTTTAACTTTGAAATATTTTTTGGTGAGCTCCGTCTATATCACTTTAGTCTGAGCGTACGACAAACAAGTAAACTTTATGAGATTCTAATTAGATATTCTATCTAAGATATATATAAGCAACAAAATAGTACGGCGGGAAGAAACTCGGCTACAACTTTGTAATAGTATTATTTTCCGCCTGCAGTCTGTAAATTAGTTTTATTCAGTTGCTTCGCTCTGTTCTTGTAAATCTAAAATATCATGATTAATATTTAAAAGTTTTAAGGATTTTTTCAATAATTTGTTTGAAGAAAAAGTTATTAAAATCTATTTAGGTTTGTTATAATTTAGTATTTTCTTTATATTTGTATTTTTTTATGATATAATAAAAGTACAGTTTGATATTTAAAGAAATAAATGAACTATATATATATATATATATATATATATATATATATATATATATATATATAGCGTTAATACCAATACCATGAAAAAAAATTCAGTTTGGAAGTAATATTTTAAAATCATACATTTTTAAATATAATTACTAAAATGTTAATATAAAACAATGGATCCAATACGAGCAACTACAAAATGTTACGTTAAGATTTCACAATTGTATCGCTTTCTATTACTGCCCTTTGTTTTGCAACTATACATAAACTTCTTCGACATACTCTAGGGATACCTACTTATCCCGGCGGAGAAGCCAACTCCTACCGGGCGCGTCCCCAGGTGGCGGATAGGGGAATGCCACCCGCTTAGAGGGGCGGGTGGTACCGGAGAAATCCGGCGCGGACCAAATGGCTTGGATGGGGCCGCTCGTCTAGGCCTCGAGCCGAAGACGTTGCGGCACCGGTGGTGGGACCGCTTGGTCCCACAACCGGATGATGGGTGCCGATTGCGGGACTGTGGTCGCAGGCCCGCATTCGGCGGAGGGGTAGGCCGCGGCGGGAGAGGAGTGCCGGTATTTCGGTGCGCCGTTCTCCCTACCTTCCGCGGCCTAGACGGGGCCGCCACCGTTTGATGGCGGACGCGGTGGGGCTGCAGGGGAAGAGGAGTGTCGGTGTTTCGTTGCCGCTCTCCCTGTCCTCTGCAGCCGATTGGAGGTGGCCCACTTCGGTGGGCGGTGTTTGTGTGGTGTGGGGCTGCTCCGGGTACTTCTCTGATCAGCAGAGTGGACTTAGGAGCGGCCTCACTTTTTGGGTTGTAAGTCTTCCCATAATGGGGTTGTCCCGCTTGGGGCGGCCTCATGGTTGGTGGCTTCGGCCAACCGTCGGGGCGTCGCGGTTGTATGCGAGAGCGATCCCGTGGCGCCCCACATGGCGGCAGAGGGGGAAAGTTGGGTTTTAGTGGGTATGCCGGTCTCATTAGCCGGAGAGTCTCCACATAACTACCCCGGGGGAAGTCGGGTGGTATCCGTAATAGGATTTCCTAACTATAAAAAAAAGGGATACCTACTTAAATAATAATACTGTTTTAAATTCATGATTACGCTATAGATATTTCACCTTATACAAGTAAAAACGTTATTTTATACACATTTAATCTATTCTAATATTATAAAGAGGAAAAAATTGTTTGATTGTTTGTTTTTGTTGTTTATTTGTTTGTTTTTTTGTATCGAATAGGTTCCGAAACTTATGAACCGATTTAGATGAAATTTGGTAAGATGATAGTTTGAGACCCTGGGAAAGATATAATTTTTATTCCGGAAATCATCCCTTAAGGGGTTGAAAATGAGGATAAAAGTTTGTTAGGGGGATCAACCTAGACACGAGTCATGAGATCTCGCTAGATGAGTCGCTAGTATTAAATATTT